CATATATCTTTTTTATCTATTTTATGTTATTTTATGATTTCATTTTTAAAAAAATAACTTTCCATAGTCAGATGAATAACTTTTTTTATTTTTGTTATTTTTGAAAGATAAATACAAAATGGAAGGTGTGAACAACAATAGAATAAATTTGGATTTGAGTTTGAATATTGAATATTCAGTTGAAGAAGTTTCTTCAAAAAATGATTCTTTTGTTGGTCGTAATATTATGGAAGAAGTTGAAGAAATTGAAATTTTTGAGAAAGAAAACATTGTGATTTCTAGTCATAATAATGAGATAAATGGATTTTTACAAGAAAGGGGTGAGGGTGACACTTTTAAGGATTCAAATATTGTTCCTTTTGTTGGTCAAATTTTTCTTAGTGAGGAAGAAGCATTTGTTTTTTATAAGAGATATGTATATCAACACAGATTCTCAGTTCGAAAAGGTAGATTCATCAAACAAAATGGAATTGTGAGTATGTGTGATTTATTTTGTCATCGTGAAGGTAGAACTTCCTTAAAAATCATAGAACCATCAAAAGAATAAAGAAATAGAGAATCAACTAGGTATCAATGTAAAGCTAATTTATGAATTTATTTGCAAAAAATCCATGATATGTTTCCAAGTGAGTGGCGGGTTACAACCTTTGTTGTTGAACATAATCATACTTTGTTAACTCAATCAGAAGTGCGGTTTTTATCGGCTAAACAAATTATCTCAGATGATTATTGTGAATAAATTTTCTTGTTAAAGGAAGGTGGACTTTCAGTTAGAAAATTAATGTGTTTCATATAGTTAGAAAAAATGCGGAACATTCCATTTATTGAAAAAGATATTCGTAATCTTTTTTTGAAAGCCAAGAAAAAGTTGAAATAATTGATGTTGTTTATCTTCTTAAGTGTTGTGAGGATACAAAAAAGAGTTGTTCTAAATTTCAGTATGCATATACACTTGATGAATAAAGAAGGTTAGAGCATATATTTTAGCCTCATGCTTATTATTTTGATTGGTACCAAGAATATGGCGATGTTGTTGTATTTGATACAACATACAAGATAAATTCTTATGAAATGCCATTTGGAATTTTTGTGGGTATGAATAGTCTTGGAAAGACTATACTTTTTTGGATGTGTACTCTTACGAAATGAAAAAACTTCTGCATAATTTTTTGGTTGATGAAGGTAACATTTAAGTTTAATTTCATGATTTTTCTAATATAATTTGTTATTGTATCATTTTTTTAATTACATAATTTTTTGTATAGACTTTTATATCTTTGATGAAGAAACCACCGAACACTATATTAATAAATCAAGATCCATGGATGAAAGAAGCAATTTCAAAAGAGTTGTCATCAACAAAACACGGTTTTTGCATATGGCACATCCCTTTCAAGTTTAGTTGCTGGTTTAGTGATATACTCTGAGAGACCGAGACAAATATCCAAAATGGTGTTCTGATTTTTATGGCTTGTATAAGTTGGAGACACGTGAAGAATTTGATCATCAATGGCCAAAAATTGTTGCTAAGTATAACTTGCAATCAAATAAACACGTGAAAGGATTGTATGAAATAAAAAGTTATTGGGAACTCGCTTATCTTCGTGAGTATTTATTTGGTGGTATGACAACCACAGGTAGATCTGAGAGTACTAATGCGTTTATCAAAAGATTCATAAATTCTCATACAAGTTTAAGCGATTTTACAAAGTAGGTATGTTCTAATTTCTAAAATATTATCATTGTTATAATCTTATAAAATAATGTTTTGATTAATTTAAATTAATTTCAAGTTGATTTAGCAATCAATGATGTCAAGCAAAAAGAAGAGCATGATATAATGTTAGAAAAATGCAAAAGATTAAACATGAAACTGATATCACCTTTGCAAGAGCAAGCTCATAGTCTTCTCACAAGTTTTGCTTTTCAAAGTTTCAAGAGGAGTTTGAAAGGTCCATCCAATATTCAACTCATCATGAAAATAGTAATGTGTTTGTGTTGCGGTATTATAAAGATGCTAATAGTAGAAAACACATGGTCTTTTGGGATGGTAAAATAGCTACAAGTAGCTGTAAGCACTTTGAGTTTTGGAAGATATTATGTCGACATATTCTTAATATATTTTTTCATAAAGATTGTCATGAAATCCCTTCTAATTACTTGCCATCACGATGGCGGCTTTAAGTATCACATGAGAATGATGTAGTAAATCCTCAACCAATCAATGTTGTGTTTGAGGACCAAATAATATGTTACAACAATGAAGCTCACGCAGATGATATTGTTCAATGCCCTCCGATATCCAAAACAAAAGGTCGTCCTAAACGAAGACGTCTTAAAAGAGGAAAAAAACTTTCACATACCATGAATACTTATGGATTATGCAAAGGTGTAGGACATCAGATTGCAACATGTCCTCTAAAAGAAAATATTCAATTTTCGACTCACACTAAAAATAAGAAGAAAATTTGTCAAAATGCAAATTTAAATCCAATTCTTCTACCAAAAATTTAAGTACATGTTTTTTTAATAAATTTTTATATTTATTTCTTATGTTTTTTTATATCTTTTGTATTTTTAATTTGTTAATTAAAATTATAGTTTTTGTTTCTATTTTTATAACAGGAAGAAATGGATGATATGTGTAAGAAGTCTATCAAGTAATTTTTTTTATTTGAGTAATTTCTTTAAAAAAATGTATTTATATTTAAAATTGTAATTTATTTTGATACATTATTATACTTTTAAAGCATTTATATTAAAAAACTTTGAGCATAACTTTGCATCAATATATTATTGTAATTTTAAGCAAATCAATTTTAAATTAATTAAAATTTTTTTCGTCTTACAAACTATTATAATGGTTCTTAATATTTTTAAGAAAGATAAACTTTAATGTGTTAATTACTATAATTAATTATTATATATTTCAAAATAAAGTAGATGAAATCAACTATGGGCATAAGAGCTTACAAAAAAAAAAACTATGGGCATAAGATAGCAATACCCTATTGATAATAATATTAATCCAGCCAATCTTGACAAAGAAATCCCAGCCAATCTTCATTCCTTTCCTCTGACGCAAACGCATCATCGCGGCGACGCAAAAGCAGTGAGCGAATACAATCGCTTCAGTCTCAAAGTGAAGAATCTCCCTACAAAACAAACCGTTTCCGCCCGGAGCAAGGTTCTAGTTAGGAACTATTTCACCTTTTCCATCTCTTTTGTTTCAGGTGACCAATCGCACTCATTCCTTTACTTTTAGAGATTGCATACAAACTGTTTGACAAAATGTTCTTCATGCTTGTTTTTCACTAAATCCAAATACATACATTGCAATTTTCTTCCCTATTCCGTGACCCATTGATTCTAAGTAAAAGCATTAGGAATCTACCTCTATTTTTTTGGAACTTTTTATGAGGCATTTTTGGAACAGTCCTTTGTTTCAACGTGTTAATTACTGAGATACTGAGAGATTTACTGAATAGTGGACTCTGAGTTTGAAAGTAGAAACTTGCATCCCTAGCATGCTCCTTAATAATTGACTAGTCGCCACTGGCTTCTTCATGCTTCCATCAATAAACGTATAGCTGTTCTTGGGTACAAAGTTTGTTTCATTACTCTAACCTAGGGGTGGTAAACGGATATGGGTGAGGGAATAGGTGAGGGTGCAAGCCTGAAACCTTGTCCTGCTCCACAAAAAAAAATAAAAAATGAGGCAGGGCGGAATTGTCGTATTAGAGAGTGCATGCCTAAAATTTTGGGATGCCTCGCGAAAATGTTTGGGTAAAACAGACATGCCCGGAGGGCCGGACCCATTTTGCCACCCTACTCTAACCAATGAGTGTCGGTTTTTCCCGTTCAAGGGTTTGTACTAACATCAATGTAGCAAAATTCTGGAAGATTGGTTGAGTAATCAATGAAAGAAGAGGAAGGTGAAGAAGGAGGGGAGCTCTGGTTTTGAATAAAAAAACAGAAGAGAATCATGAAACTTAAAAGAGAGGTGATTGATACCAGATCTGTGTGTGGAGCTCAATTTTCGTAATCTTAATCATAACAAGAATTGATTAGTACAACTATGTAATCAGCTGATTGAATGGGCTGCTCAATCAGCGATAGTAAAACAAATCAGCTTACACTAAACATACTCTGAACTAATTCACCGACTGAACTAACTGATACTTATGTTGTCAATCGCATGCTATAGTGAAATAGTGTAGCAGTGGTAGGGCTCGGGCCACTCGGCGCGCCACTTTTGGCCTCTGAGCCACCGTCAACAATAGCGGGTGTAGCGGCTGCTATTTGTGACCCAAACCGCTATTGCAGACGCTATAAGGGTCTTGGGGTGAAATTCCTCAAAGCCTTTTTTTTAAACCCTTGTCCTTTTTATAGGTACGAATGCCAATTTGGACCCTTTTAAGAGTAAAATTCTGTTCTCGTTTTCACTATGTTGTTCCTACTTTTGGTTCAGTTATGGTTTTCTTCTCTGTTTAAGTTTTATTGCTCTGTACTTTAGGTTTAAGTAAGAAGGTCTTTTTAAATTGTTATATTTTTCTATTTTTTGAATTACGTTTACTTTGCACACTGATTTTTAGCCTATGCAATGGCGTCTATCTCTCTATAACGCAATAGCATTTTAGGGTGTCAGTGCTGTGCAGCGCTATGTGATTAATAACTTATGATATTATTAGTCTAGAAATCCAATATACAGAGGAATTGATGATCCTTACTGTGTGAAACTTTCTTTGTTTCTTCTTTCGAGGAAGCCTTGCACTTATCTTGTGCTTATAATCCTTCTTTGTTCTCTCTAATTGTTGTTTTTTCTCTTTCATAGAGAGAGACTGTGTTTGTTTCTCTCATCCTAGAGAGAGAGAGGGAGAGGAAGGAATGCGCTTCTCCCATTTTTTAGTTTCTAATTTCTTCCCCTCTCAAAATACAAGGTTTATTCCACATGTGTCATACCTTGCAGGAAGTAAATTGTGGATATTTATAGAAAAAGAATGAGAACTGAAGCCTTCCAAACTGCTAACATCTATCGCCATCTTCTCAAGGCGGTCAAGAAACATATTGGGAAAGAAGAGAATAAGAGACATTTTCTAGAATATGTAACCTCCGAGTTTCACAAGAACCGAAATCTATCCGATGGTGTGGCTGTCCAACATAAAATAAAGCTTGCTCGTGATTACACTTACCTTCTTAACAACGTGCAATATCACAAGGTATTACGCAATTCTGGTTTTATTGTAATTTCCCTTCAAACAGCACTTCTTTTGTATAGGCCTGTACTGTACATCATTCCAAATGGTCAAATTATAAACCCATTCAATTTAAAACTTACTGAGATATCAGCAGATTTAGTTGTTGTATGTATATTGCAAAATAAAAGTAAGATGTAGAAGAGGATGTAATGTGTTTTTTTGCTAGTGATAAGCAATTCCATATAGCCAAATTGGATCCAAGATTAGAAGGAACCCCCTGCAGATTTTGTCTAATTATGGATATCAAACATAGCATTTTTGTTTTGACTCATTTTATGTCGGTAGTGTAAATCATTACTAGAAAAAAAAGAACATTTTATCTGGCTGGTTTTCTCACAATGATTCATTATCAACAATCTTGCAGGAGTTGCTTTTCTCATATAACATTGCAGTGGATAGATCAGACGAGGTTAAAAGGACACTTAGAAAATCTGCTGCTAGTGTCGGTCTTCAGCTTCCTGAGGTTTATCGATCATAA